GCATGAGAAGACATGAGGATTTAAAAGGAAGAGCAGCAAAGAGAAGGGAAACTACCATGGATTACAGTAAGGCACACATTACAGTATTGGTTTATGTTAAAAAATCTGAGGGTTTAATGTCACTTTAAGCTAAGTATGGAATTATATAGTGCTGTTGGAATCATCATAGTGCCCATGTTTTATGCAGAACTGCCTCCAGACCTCAGGCCACCAATCAAATAGAAAATAGATGCAGCTTAGTGGAACTACAGTGAACCTAGAGATAACTTTCAGTGCCCCCTGGATCCCCTCACCAATGTCTCGATACTAGTGGATGTTTTTATGTGTTCAAACAAGGCAAACTTCCCCCCACAACGTAGTCATAGTAAATATACTTTGCCGCTGCCATTCTCTCACCTTATTGCCTTATAAATACATTTAAAAGAGTCTTGATTTAAATATGGGCTTGATCAGATGCCCAAATGTAGGGGGCGACAGGCCACGTGAGGGGTCATTCAGATGGGCAATGAGCATATTGCCTGGCACTTTCCATCCTTGTTACCCCATGACTGCCAAGCTTCATTCATCACTATGATCATTATGCTGTCTTTCACAGCTTGGGTAAACAATCTAGCAAACACTAGAGGCCCAAAATGCAGGAGGACTCCCTGTATACAATGATGTCCGCTACAGTGCTTACCCGTGCTGTGTGTGAATGACAGCTCCATTCATCATAGAGATAAATGACAACTCCATTCATCAGAGAGATAAATGACAGCTCCAATTCTCACACATATGAATGGAGTCAATCAAACATGCAATGGCACACACGGGAATGTGGGCAATGAACTGCACCTCCCGTCTCATCATATGTTTGAAAGATGCCTAAATCTTATACATTCCAAGTGGCATTGCAAGCCACATGTGGGCACCCATTTTCCCCAAGAAGTTAGATACTTAGATGGAAAAGATACCAGTTCATTAAGTTCAACCAAGACACACAAAAATCAATGAACTAAAAACTTGAATCTTCTTAACCCTAACCCTGCAGCTAATCCAGGATAAACAAAAAAAAACATATAAAGCATGGTCCTATTTACACTAACAGGGAAAACCCTAAAGCAATTGGATACTTCCCAGATCAACAATCTGCAACGTGATTTCTTATGAATATTAGTTCATAGACAGGTATATTTTGTGCCTTTAAAAACACATCTAGCCTGTTTTGTGACTCAATCTACAGAGTTGACCAGAACAGAGTAGGGAAGGGTAAAGCTCCATCTATTGTTTTCTGTTGGAGAGATTTCCCTTCATTTCCTGTCCCATAAAAGCATTAGGAAGTGAGAGGAAATCTCTATAAAGTGAGAGGAGTTCTATTTTTTAGACAGTTGTCACAGGAACAAGTGTTCCCTTTGAAAGACTTTCCCTTAACTTTTGATCCTGGTGACAACTATATTATTTTGGATTTTCCAATAATTTCTGTCCTGGCAAAAATGGCCACCAGGACAAACAGATAGCTTAAACCTGCCTAGCCGGCACACTGACAACAATAATCACTTGACAGGGATCCAATCCCTTCAGTAAAAAATAGTTGCCTCTTCTCTATCTTAAGTCTGGATACAAGCCTTGTTTTTCCTTTGTTTAGCCAGCTGCTGCAGGGACACCTGATCACTCCTACAGCACGAAGGCCTTGTTCACACCAAGCACGGAGCAGGTGCAGAACAGAGCAGTTGCAGACCGGATCAAAACTGTGTCCAATGTATTCCAATGGTATTTTTTGCTCCAGTTCACATTGCAGCGTGCAGGTCCAGAGCAGGTGAAAAAACTGCAGCAGGCCCTATTTTACCTGCTCTGGATCTGCTCTGGATCTGCAAACGCATCAAAAACGCATGGAAATGCCTGGAACGCACTGAAAGCCCATGTTTTTTACCCAAAACGGCCCGGAACACATCAAAAACGCGGCAAACCTGAGCGGATCTGCCCTGCATTTGGTGTGAACAAGGCTTATTGTGTCCGTGGTATGGTGGTGGCGAGGGGTGGTGCCTTGTGTTGATAAAACACAAGGCACGGGTTACTTTTTTTTAAGCTTCCTGGACTGTCACAGAATTACATTTTACTAATTTCTATGAACAGCAGCTGAACTGTGGTGCAGTGACTGTTGGTGATATGAGGCAATGTGTAGTGAGTTGTGAAGATATGCAGCATGTCTGCTCAATGCACTGCAACCCACCTGAAGGCAGCATTGTGGTCTGAATGGGACACATTGCACCCTTTGGTTGAGCCTGCGTTGTTCTATGCAAATCAACGCAGCTCAACTACAGCAGCGTGAACAAGCCCTAAGTCCCCATTCTCACCAAGTGCTTTGTAGCTCAAAGCTTGGCGCTACAAAACGCTGAACTCAAGGAACTCCATTGTTTTCTATGGTGTCTGTTCACACCTGAGCATTCCATCGCCTGTAGCAAAACCGCTGTTGCTGGAAAAAGTAAATCTGCAGATTTCTGCGCCTTTCACCCCATAGACTTCAATAGAAATGCATGTAAATGTGCGTTTTGTCACACAACCACAATTACCAACCTGAAAACGCATGTAAAAACGCTTTTGAAAACGACTCGAAACGCTAGACAAAACGTGCAAAAAAACATTTTTGCTGCTGAGACATTTCCCTTCACTTTCTGTCTTGGTGACAACAAGACAAGAAATAAAGGGTACATGGGTCACCAGGACAAGAAAGCCGAGGCAGTAATAAAAATCTAAAAGAAATTGTTTCTCTGTGGCCATTGGATTGATTTCCCTCTTATTTTGTGTCCCCTGTGATAGTGCCAGGAAGGTAATTTGAATCTTGCCAATTAGGGCACAGCAGTAAAAACCTGAAAGATGCTCTAACCCCAAAGCAAAAGATTTTTTTTTTTTCTTGATTGAGTTTGGCTTTAAAGCATTAACACTGAATTCCAGCCCTCCCTTTAGTCTTGCACAGTTATACAGGTTCCCATTCCAGGACAAGTTAATTAATTGCCCAGTGCAAACATGGGCTAATATCAGTGCATGCAGCACACTGTGCCAAAAAGGAAAACATTTGCCTGCATCGGTGGTGTCACTGGAAGCCAAAAATGTGCCTGTGGTGTCACTGGAAAAAATGCTGCTGCATTGCTGGTATCATTTCTGTATCACTGATTTAATTAGGAAATCATGTTTGCCTAAATCTCTCAGCTCATCCCTACCATAAAAGATTTTTGGGCCACACAGCTTCATATTTGTAATTTGTAGAACTGGACAAAGGATAAAATGTTCAGCCAATGAGGAGGCATGGTTCAATAAGCCAGTCATAAATAGATTCCCAGGCAGATACCAGACATAAAGCATCCCATTACAAGCTTAGGGACAGGAGCTGGGAAATGACATGACATGCACAGGATAGTAGAGGTGCACATTAGGTAAATGATCAGACCACTCCTTGTTTGGGCAACTTAAACCTAAATTAGATCAATATGTGATACCTCACTGTGCAGATCCTCATTTCTCCTCGCATTAACATACTGAAATGTCTTGTATCATTTTTTCATATAAAATAATCTGGCATTGTACTAAATTCTTCAGAATTAACTACATATATATATACCTAGCCAAATTGGAAATTATTTCATTGGTGGAAATAGCAGGAGACGAAATACTGGCTCAGTGATGTGAATGGATTAATATATCCAAGTGATATGAGGCTATAGTCTTCGATTGACAGTGATTGAGGCGTACATAAAAGGAAAGAAGGTGTACTTCTATTATAGGAACGACATAGATGAATGACACTCGGAAAAATACAACCGATATGTTTGTTTGGATCGCTCTGAGAGAAGAATCTGAATACTTTGAATGGCAACATTGTCATTTATTATTGGGATAAACCATACTCAGTAAATTCTTAGAAGCGATGCATAGATGGAGATTATGTTTCTTGTTGTAACAACCAGGCAGTGCACCCGGTCAGCTTAATCAGAATCAGCAACCAGCTAAGATTACAGATATTATACCTCAGTTGTGTGTGGGGGCCTGCCAGCTTGTATAGGTATGCCAACTTTTAAACCTTTGTATTGCTGTTTCTGCTCTTATTTTATAGCCACACATGAGCTGATTTATCAAAGTGCCTGATGGAAGAAGGATCTGCAGCCCATCGGCTTCTTCCTTTATTCCTTTGCTGATTACACAATAAAGGGCAGCAGGCAGCACTCCCCTCAGATCCTTTGATAAATTAAACTGATTTTACTAAAGTAAAACATTTTATTTTTTTACAAAATCAACAATAAAGTATGAGAACTGTCAAAACTAGAAATTGAATTTGAGAATTTTATTTTCTTTTAAAAGAAAAACAGATCCGGGTCCAGATGACAGTACTCCGGCTTCTGTAGGATGTTGCCTTTCTTCTGATGTTCTTCTTGATCTGGTTATTTGCCACCAGTCCAGTCCAGGATACGAAAGGAGATAGAGGACCTTATTAAACCTCCTAATGGCCCTAAACCCCCCATTTAGGAAGTTTCAGGGGGGTTGGTTAGGAAGTTTTGAATCCTGCAGGGAGGAACAGAAATAATGCTGGGCTGCTACTGCAGCATGCCATAGCAATCCTTGTAGCCCAGCTTAGACAATAGTGGCTTATTCAGTCAGTGGACCCTGCAGGGTAGCAGCTTTGGCCAAGAGGGTCACAATGGTTATGTTTTACATTGACCCTTATCCTATGCAAATTTCACCTGTAAGAGTCACTCTTCTGGAGGTACCAAACTGGGCAAAGTAAGGCCAAGTAGACGGTAATAACTAATAATGACTTAGGAGCCATCTGTCTGTCAGCGTATTAAAGGTATTACTTGCAGCTCAGGGATGTTCCGGATGCTGAATACAAAATAATAACAGCAGTTAGCTTATAGCTAAATCTAAAGCACACATTGTGATTCTAAAGGAATCCTTCTGTTAGTTACCTCAAAATAAGTTGGTATCTCCTGTAACTCATCTCTCAGGAGCTAATGGTTTGGAGAGGCTACCTAAAGATCCTTGGCGATGCTGATCGCTGGGGATCCTTCAGGTCTTGGATCGCAGTGAGGTTGTTTACTGCGAACTGCCTCTGCCTGTCCTGATGTCTCTCCAGATTCCTCTGACTGGCGTCTCTTAAGTCCTATGGGGCGACATAAAAAATAATCCACATTGAAGAAGCTACACATTCATTGGTCTAATCAACAGTGCAACTGCAAGTCATACATAACCAAGTGTGTAAACCAACATTCTCTCATGATGTTTCAGTAGATAATATCTGTGTAATATACTATACCTTTGGTCATCTTGCCCAGGAACCAGGGGTGTCTCTTTATCTCTGGGATGGAAATTCTTGTTTTAGGATTCTCTTCTAACATTTTATAAAGCAGATCTAATGAAGACACAGGAATAAATGATATCATAATGCAATATCATACTGTATGCTCTACTTATTTACCTGCGTTGTCTGAAAGTCAATTATTCATAAGAAAAAAATCTACCAAGAAGTTGAGAGGGCAAACTCTTCCATGATGACCCCCGGTCTCTGGAGTTCTTAAATTTGCGGTACTGATAATACCCATTCTTGGCTTTTTCCCAGGGTTCCCCTGCACACAAAAAAAAATAATAAAATGAAATCAAGCTGATTAGCAAACAAAGTCAACTACATAAAGGTTACAATTTAACATATAAAAACTATAAAGGGGCAAAACCTCTACTTTTGCCACACAAGGGAAAGTGTTATGCAACACTATGTTGTGGGTGGAGGGTGACTCTGGCAGCTTGTGAGCAAAACTATAATTTTCTGTTCTGCTGTTTGAGACCAAATTCTGTGACACTCCTTTATTTATTTTCCTGTTCTCTATGTTTGGATCAGAGGACTCTCCACAGAAGACATAAGTAACATTTTATTGTCCAGCAGAGCATTAGAAAAAAGGAAGGCAATAGGGGGAATTCATAAAAACTAGAGCAGACAAAATCTGGTGCTGTTGTCCACGGCAACCAGTCAACGTCCCCTTCCAGTTGAAATGAAAGAGAGAAGGTGACTGGTTGCCATGGGCAACTGCTCCAGATTCTGTCTGCTCTAGTTTTTTTGTGTTCTCCCCAATGTGTCATAAAACAAAGAATGTCTTAAATAAGGCATTGCGGTGCACATATTATTGCACTACATCACGTGTAGTCATATATCAGTGTGTATATGTACTGTGGAGGGAATGGATGCCCAAAGTTTATAGACATTAATTGAATTCATACCTCCGATCATCATGGCAGCAAGGACTACACCACATGACCAGATGTCAACTGGTGGAGCTTTATATGTCCTCCCGGAGAATACCTCTGGTGCCATGTATGGCCCAGTCCCGCATACCCTGCCCAGCCACAGTTCTTCTCCTTTGTTGACGAATATCGCAGACAATCCAAAGTCAGAAATCTTAAGCCGATCAAAACTGTCTAAGAGCAGATTGCTCGGCTTAATGTCGCGGTGCACAATGTCCATACTGTGCAGGTATTCCTAAACAATGATGATAGTGCAACAAATGTGAGTCAAAGTTGGAGTCCACCCTTTCTTGTGACAGTGGTCATCGGTACAAATAGTGAGATGAATCTTCTCGATGGAGATTCAGACAGCAATAAAAACTTGACATAAGGTATAACCTTTCCCCTTTCTATGCATTCTAGATTGAATTAACAAATAATGCACTAAAAAGATGCCTACAACTCCAGTGATCAGCTGTTGGAAGTAAATTTGAGCCTGCTGTTCAGAAATGCCATTGTCACCTATAATGGGAAACGTAATTTACAAGAGATGAGCTGAGAGCCATATGTGCATACAGAGGGCTGCTGTATATGAATAACAGACAAAAAAATGTATCAATTCACTGGAACTCCAGAGACATACTGTATAAAAATGTACCACTTACCGATCCAGTTCCAAAGTTCCCCTTTGCCACAGTACTCCAACATCAGCACTTCTTTTCCATTGTTTTCCTCATGGCCATAATACTTGACCACATTAGGGTGGTCCAGTAGACTGTTGATGCAGAGTTCATTCTGGATCATTCTTGTGCTCTCTGGTGACGTCTTGATGACCTTAAAAGCTCGAGCCTCACTGGTAACTTTATGTACAGCAAGATACACTCTGAAAGGAAATCAAGGAAATAATGTTTCATTAAACAGGTAGTAATCTTGCGTTACCCTTTCAATGCCATGGTATACAGACAAGTCCTTGGCAGCGAGAGGGTTAAAGGGATAAAGAACCCTGGATTGGGAGAGCATTCCCCAGCCGAGGAGGCTACCCAGGTAGACTTTAGCCGACCAGTGATATCTTTTCCCTGATCATACTTACGTGGCGAAGCCTCCCTCTCCAAGAGTATTCACTTTCTTCCACATTCTGAATGGAAATCACTGCCGGATATACCGTGCAGAATCCTGTTGAGAAAATAGAAAAAGAAATAGTAATTGACCAAATATTAATATCCACAGGTATAGATTTTATATAGACCAAATAATCTGTGCCAATGGCATTTTATTAAGATGGTTTCCCTCATTTTTGGTACCTGTGCATTTTTATGACATTTTGTTTGTTATTTTTAGGAAAGCATTGTGATATATTTTGGCTGCAGCAGTCAAACTGAACGGACTGCATCACAACTGCATATGGTGTGAACTAGCCCTAAGTCTTGCCACTTCTGCATTGCTTGACTATTTTAGGCCCCGTTCCCACTGCGCGATATGCAAATTGCGCGTTTGTCGCGCGATTTGCATATTGCGCGACATCGCGAGATTTGCCGCGCGATGTCGCGTTCAAGCTTGCATTGAGCAAGCTTGAATCGCGGCTAAATCCGCTCCAAAAAGGGTCCTGCTGTAGCGACACGCGACCCGCGACAGCAGGACCCTTTGCCCCATTGGATTGCATTGGAGCGCGATATCGCGCGGTAATTTGCCGCGATATCGCGGGAATTACCGCGCGATAAATCGCTCAATGTGAACGGGGTCTTAGGCTCAATTCACAGAACTAACACCCAGGAGAAGGAGCCTTATTAAAAAGTGACAGTTACTTTCAGCTCAGTCCAGAGAGATTTGAAAATAACTGTCAGTTACATAGTGTGGAGAGCTGTGAACTTGAGATCCTGTCCTGGAGATATGGCGGGATACCAGGAAACCTCCCCAAAGTAAGAGGGGTAAAGTATACAGGGAAAACACTAGCTGAAGAATGCGGTAAAATGTGATCCAATAACATCTGATGCTTCATTGACACTAACATGTTTACTTAGTAAGGCAAGAGCAATGTTAGTTATGTGCAGTAACTATGGTAGCCAGGTATTTTGTCTTGTTTTGATCTGTCTAAATGTCGGGAAACTGATATCTAATAGTTTCTATGGGTTACAGCACAGCATTGCCAAAGGAAATAACATACAGATGACTAGTTCAGGAAAATGCATTGGGGCCCTTTGGAGGCAAATGTCACCAGACTTTTGCCAAAGGTGAATCCAATATTGCTGCTCATCCCTACTAATCAGACAAGACATTATGCTGTGTCTAATCCTCTAATATAGAATTCTAAGATATGGTAGAGCCACTCTACAATCTTACCAAACAGAAGAACCGGGATCAGCTAGTAGATGGCAAAATAAATGCAATAAAATCGCACTAAGCAAGCACACAGAAGAAATAGCTGTATCTCATCCGCAAAGGGGTCCATACTGGTGATATCTGCTGGAAGTGTCCAGTATTTATAGCAGAGCTGCTGCAGAATTTCGAATTCGATTTGGACGGTTAAAAATAACTGTCACTTTTAAGTAAACAAGGGTCCTATAAGTAAATGTATCAACACTGGAGGAGCCAGAATCTGGAGCAGCTGTGCACAGTAACCATCAGCTTCTCTCTTCAGTTTGTTTATTCACAGGTTTATTCACAAAGCTGCCGAAGGCAGCCGTGTGACTAACTGACTCGAAGTGAAGTGAGCCGAACGCTGTTCGGCTATTCACTTCAGGCTTGTACAGCTGATTTCAGCCGTACATTGGCTGGAATCAGCCGTACATCGGCTTGCTTCGGCTGGCGGAAGTGCAGAAGGAGTTCGACTCAGCCGATCCAACATCTCCGGCAGGCTACTCGCTGCAGTTTGGCCTATTCTCATAGGGGTAGAACGGCAGTGAGTAAATAGCTGAATTCCACCGAGCGGCATTCAGCTCGGGTATTCTGCTCGGTACCTCCCTGGTACCGAGCAGAGTAGCCAAACAGTGAAAGTTGGAAAAAAAAAAATCAAAAAGTAGGAAAAATTTTTTTACAAAAGTAAATAATAAAAAAAAAAAAGAGATTTAAAAAAGAGAAAGAAAAAAAATCAAAGATGATTGGAAAAAAAACCTGAATAAAGATTATTGAAAGAAGAAAATTTTTTTTGAAAAAAGAAAGAAACAATTGGGGGGAGCTAGCAGTGACCTAATGAATAACAACTGGGCAGAGCCGACCGTGACATCACGGACGGCTCTGCCCAGTTGTCATTGTTTAATGACAGTTCAGCGTCCCCAGGTAACCGTCTGGCTCTTTCCAGCTGTCAGTTGCGAGGCTTTTGGCATATGCCTTCGGCTCGACTGAGCCGCTCGGCCAACTTCGAGAGCTGTACGGGCTATAGTGAATAGCCCGTACAGTAGCCCTTCGGTTAAGCTGTTAAACTGTGAAAATGAAACAGAGAAAATGATTTGTTGCCAAGGGCAACTGCTCCATATTCTTTTTGTTCCAGTTTTGATAAATTCCCCACCTCATATTTTTTTTTCCTTATAAAAGAACTGTATTTCATCTTTATTTGATAATAAAATCATATATATATAATTCCAATCATATTCTTATAATAGTATTATTCAAGCTACATACATATCTTCATTATAGTATTTCACAAACTATTAAACAGCTTGCTAAATGAAAAAAAAAAATTTCCATGTAAACAATATTTTTTTAATAGAAAATTGCTGTTTTTCTTACCGTCCGCCTCCATTTCTGGTCCAGGTTTGGAAGTCTGTGATGTTTTGTTGCAGTGGCATGTGGAAAAAATATAATCAGCATCATTTTTTTTCAATGTTTCTGTTTTGTTTTTGCTCTGTGTAAGCATACAAAGACCTTACATAAAAAAAAAAAATTTTCTTTGTTTGTGGAAAGTATTTGTGAAACAGCTTTTTATGAAGAATTTTAATTATTGAAAAGTTAACTTCTTAAAAGGTTAAAAGAGAACTATGGCCAAACCCAGTGGTGTATTTAGGTTTGGGGCTGCCCTAGGCAAGACAAAACTCGGGCGCCATCCCCCACTCCCCCCGTACACGTAAAAAAAAAAATACATCCCCTGTACATATAAAATAATACCCCCCTCCCATGTACATGAAAAAATATATAACCAGATAGGAGAGGGGGCTATTCAGAGCCCCCTCTCCTGCTCACCTTGTTGCAGGGAGGAGGCTGCGAGGCGGCACGTCTGTCCCGGTCTGTCGGCGATTGATTGATGAGGTGTGCTGCAGACCTCATCAATCGATCCTACACAATCCTTTCAGCCAGCGTTCACTGAAAGAGCGCTGGCCGAAAGGATCAGGGTGCCGGCGCATACTCAGCTACAGGGTCTGCATCCGACAGAGATGCAGACCGTGTAGCTGCTCCCGCAAGTCAGGTACGCGGTCCTCGACCGCATACCTGACTTGTGAGCTGGCTGACGGCCACAAAGTACCGGCTCGCGGGCCGGTACATTGGCCGCCCTGCCAGAATCTGCCGCCCGAGGCAAGCGCCTTTTTTGCCTCGCGGCAGATACGCCCCTGGCCAAACCGTTGTTTTGTTGTCATTTTTTGCTTTAGTTCTCTGTTAGGTCATGGTAGTACATTTACCAATATACTCCTGTGACCCAAAGTCAGCATAAAGCGTGCCACTACTTTCAATGCAGGAGGGTTAAAAAGCATTGCTATTAACCACTAATGCAAGGAGATTATTTTGGCCACTGATACCTATGCCCCACTGACACCAATGCTGGGGGTATTATCTTAGTGTTTCAAACTAATGTCATTATTGCATCCACCGACACCAGCACTGTGTGTTATTGTTGTGGCCACTGACACCAATGCGGGGGTATATATTGCAGCCTTTAAAACTTATGCTGAGGGTTATTATTCCATCCACTGACACCAGTGCAGGGGGTTACTACTGCTACCACTGACACAAATGCTGGGAGTTCACTGTTGTAGTCTAATCGGGATGATTACGCCTCTTTCTATAAAATCTGGGCAAGCTGGTTGAAAATTCATACTGTGTTAATTTATCGATCCAATGAATTTTCATTTACTTTTAAATTGTATCATAATATACGATACATCTTATACTTCTCACTTATTTAATGGGTAACATCCATGTACTTGAATGATTTGAATAATTTCAAATACCTTAACCAGAGTTTGTCTTTGTCATTTGTCATTCCCCTAATTGTCTTCCTTCCCTTTTGCTCCAATTCTTAATATTTATCTTATTTAATTGGACATGAGTGTTCTTATGTCATACATGCCGTTTTCAATAATTGTTCAATAATATTTGAATATCTTTATGTGATTTATGTTCTGTTTATTCGTTTCAATTAATAAAACGTATATAAATTTAAAAAATAAACAAATGCTGGGAGTTACTGTTACTGACACCAATGCTGGGGATTATTTATAACAGGGGTCTCAAAGTACCGGCCAGCTTGCCAATTTCAGCCCGCGAATCAGTACCATGCGGCCTGCCGCCGGCTAACAAGCCAAGCACCCAGTCATGGACCCTGTAGCTACATGATCTGCACCTCTATCGGTTGCACACCACATAGCTGCTCCTGAGTTCCTTTCGGACGGCGCTCGGTCAACCTTCTCTGAATGCCAGGCAAAGGGAAGGATTAGTAAGATCTGCACCGGCTAAAGATGCAGACCATACTAATCAACCACTGGACCACTAGGGAATGTGCCCCCTCCCTGCAGAAATGGTGAGGTGAGGGGCCATTTATTTTTATTTCATGTGTGGGGGCGGGGAATGCTGGGGGTATTTGTGTGTGTGTGTGTGTGTGTGGGGGGGGGTGTATTTCTGTGTGTGTATTATTGTGTTTGTATTTCTGGGTGTATTATTGTGTGTTTATTAGTGCATTTCTGTGTGTGCGTGGGGGTGTGCATATTTCTCTGTGTTTGCATATCTCTGTAAGTGCGTATCTCTGAATGTTTGTATTTCTTTGTGTGCGTATTTCTTGGCTCTCATGGGAGAAGAAAATGTGTACAGTGGCTCCCAACTGAATTGAGTTTGAGACCCCTGATTTATACTGACATCAATAATGAAGTTTATTTATTTACACTTTCACCTCCGTGTGAGTTATGTGTAGTAGCTGGCATGCTGCAAGGTAA